CTTTGCGTGCTTCCTCTGATAGAATGTGAAGTGGTTCTTCTGTTCTTTTGATGCTGCTGCCTTATGCATATGATACACACGGCGCCCCTACGACCAGAATAGTTATGGGTGCCAGCTGTACATGTGCCCGAGTAATAATTATTAGTTTCTACGGCTCAGCCTGTGAGTGTCTCAGGCTTGTTTGATCAGCGATTGTGCATAATCATTTGAAACACGACTGCATCATCATGGAAATTCAAGCTCAGACGTGATTTTGGCCGTAGTCTGAATCGCCGCTAAGCTCCCGCATCTTTAGACTTAGAGCCACGCAAGTTGTATGGTCTGTTGTTGCTATGCGCCCTTGGATGGTGGTTTGACCGTATTGTCTACCGCGCCGGTCTTGCCAGTATCGTCATCGACATGCATGTACATCTGCCAACGTCCTTCACAGCTGAGACTTTCAGCGTGTGCTTGTCTTGGTTGCGCTCACCTTCCCCTTCTATGTTTTCATATTAAACTTAGAACCTTCCGTTGGAAGGCTGTTGGAGTGCGCACCCAAGCCGTGCTAGAGCTGATGATAGCCAGTTAGTTGTAACTGTTAGAACGTCAGTACTGTCGGTCAGTTTTGTGCAATGTTATCGCCTGCGCTGATTGTTTAGTGACTGGTGGTGTTTGTGGACATTATAGCGTAACTTGTACTAGTCTAGCAGTTGTAGTTCCTTGGTCCTTTTCTTTATTATAAATAATTATTAATCATTGGCTCTCCATCCGAGGCTATCCTTGCACATTATACTTTGTTCATGTACATGTGATTGTTTATCGCTGACACCAAATTTCAGTGCGAGTCACAGTCTTCGACAACTAACTTTACTTGACAAGCACGATTGACACACATTTCCTGCTCTGTACAGTACATGTAGCTGGCAGTATGGACATGTACATGTACATGATTGTACACTGTGATTGTACACTGTATGTACACAACGTCACAAGGCAGACTGTGACAACAGAGACCAAAAATCATTCTCGTGAGTCGTACCTAGTACATGTACCTCCGAGTTTCGTGTTTCAAAAACACTCATCAGACGATTGTATGTACATGTATGTACATGTGTAACCCATAAGGCATAACTATTCTGGTCGTAGGGGCGCCATGTGTGTCATAAGGCAGCAGCATCAAAAGAACAGAAAAAAAGAAGAAAAAACTACTGAGTAACTACACAGACCCAGTACATGTACTCTGCATGCTGCCTATCGATCACGATCAACAGCAACGAGAGAGAGAGAGAGTTAAAAAAGAAAGAAAAAAGGAGGAGTCGTTGATCCAGTCTTTGATTTTGGTGAACCAACAGTGACGGGGGAGACCACGGGGCCGTGATCCATGATCCAGGCACCATTCCATCCAAGAAATAGTGGGAGTAGCTATATTGATGCCTTGCAAACCACTTCAACTAATCACTTGATGCGTTTAGCAGTTGAATCAAGGCGCGTGTGAACTGGCCAATAGCATTCTTTCTTGACTGCCTACAGTTGTTGTTGTTGTTGTATACTTTATTTATAGTGGAAATCAAAACAGGCAAAATGCCTAATAACATTGGACCCACTGTGAATAACATGTTAAAGGATATTGTGGAGAAAAAAAAAGAAAAAAAAACACACACACACACACACAGTACTGACTCATTGGTGCGATGACGATGGTATTTGACGCCAAGCAGCTTACGCAGATACCTGAGCTCAAAAGCTAGCTTGTGAGATAGGGATCGGCGGATTCTGCTCGAAAAGGTGACAGATTCTGCTCGAAAAGCAGTAAAATTGGCAGAACCATACAAACCTTACGGCGGGCAATTCCTCGAATTCTGCTCCATTTCTTTATCCACATACATGTACATGTACCAAACATGCATGAAACTTACCAGAAAAAGTACCGAATTCTGCCAATTTTTCTGCCGGCAGAATCCGCTGGACCCTATTGTGAGATGGTCCAGGTCTGGCAGCCATAGAGTACAGTGGCAAGAACAATAGCAGTTACCAAGCGTATTTTTATTTCCGTCGCCGACGAACTGCAGTCTGCAGGGGGTCCGCCTCCTAGCTAGCTCCTAGCCGTGGCGCACTGCGGTACCGCCTCTGTGTACATGATCATGATGATTGTTGAACGGTCCCACTCAATGGTCCCCGCCTACTGAACTTTAAAGGGTAGTATATCAACGCGGGCATGGAGCTAATGCGAGCTAATGCGAGCGCGTGGCCGAGGTTGCGCTGACTAGTTGGCGGCGGCTAGCCGAGCTCGACGACTTGTATACGGCCTCAGTAACGGAGCTGCCACCCAACACCTGAAACGCAACGGCTGCAGAATCTTGGAATGTTCGAGTCTGCCTTGTTCGTTCTGCCAATGACTATGTGTCATGCAAGTAATGTCTTCTCCCTGAATGTTCGGAACGTTTTTGTAAATTGTCTGTACATGTGAAAATGGGTTGGCCATCTTTTGAAGTTTTGTAGCTTTCCACTACGTGGTTCGCGGCTGTAGTTTCTATGGTGGGAGATCTGCGCCAAGCCAATGCTGGATTGTTCAATAGTAGACGCTCTGCAGAGCCTGGGAGCCATTGCCCATGACAGACCAGCATGGCGAGATCTATGCATGAGGGTCTGTGCATTGTGATATTCCGACAGATCCTGAAACAGTCAAACTCAGGAAATAGCAGTATCATTATCACTCAGGCTGCAATATTCATATTATGGACATATTCATAAATGACATATATTCAATACCCATGAGCTACATTGTATATAATAATTATATATGATATAAGTATCATAATTATTATTATCATCGTTCTAGCTCATTTTTTCCCCTGTCATAGTCCTGTTTATCATGTTCAGCATAAGCGAAGTTGTGGATCATGCTTGCATGGTTGACTCCAACGCGTACATGCAAGTAATAATAATAATAATATCTACTCAGTATCTATCAAGGACACTGCCCAAGCTGGCGTCATGATGAAGTCCGCCAATAGCCTACGTCAGTCCAGATTATTATTATTCTTTATTTCCACGATGGCCGATGGCCAATAAGGAAGATAATAATTATGATTCAAATCAGTCCAGAATCATATAAAATCAGTCTAGCAAGTAAGGAAACCAACACTTTGCAGGGGGATGGGGTTACGATGGGGTGCAGTTTGAGCTACTACAGGAGCATATGGATGATAGAATGAGGCTAGACGCCATTGATTGAAACGCATGCTTGCTATTTGTTTCACGCAGGTAGTTGGTTGAAATTGTGAAGGGACAGGTTGATGGGTGAGTTGGTGTGTCGGCATGTGTGTGATGTTCTCAATGTGTATGTTCTCATGTGTCGTAGTGCATATGGCTGCTCTGTGATTGGTCGTGCAAGGTGAGGCTGTTGCAGGTGAAGGGGGGCGCGGATGTACTTGATGTTGTGGGCAAGAGTAATCTGTCGTAAGAGTTGCCGGGAGACTAGATGTCTCGCAATGGATAAGATCAAATGGAAAAGACTATTTCAGTAACACATACTGTACCCTATTTACCGCGGTACTCAATGTGACACAGAAGCGGAACAGGCATACAATTTTCATTGTGATGTCTTATTACGCGCGATGTATTATTATTTTATTAGTAATAGGTTTTTCATTTGACCCGACGAGACTACACGACGCTTGCAGACCACAGCACGAACAGTTCACCAGCCACACTCCACGAAAGCAAGTAGTATTACTCCTGAGAAGTCTTGTTTCGTTCCATAAAGTTGACGGGGAATTCATCAGAGGAGAAGCAGTTGTTGAATGAAGGGGTTAAGCTGAATAATGCTATTTTATAGAGAAGATACCGGCGCAAGGTGTAAACACTCAACTAACTCACATATGTGACAAATCAATACAAAAGGAATAGTGCAGAATGGAAGTGTTATGTCTTATGAACCCTACCAAACACAACAATCACAAGACTTAGTGCTAAATCAATCACAATGAGAAGGAGAGGTACACAGGAATAGGTTGCGCTAATTATTTACACGTCACAAAGAGTACTGAGGTGGTGACAAAGATAGGTGAAAAGTAGACGCCAAGTGAAAGCCAACAAATCACCACGGGTCACCTGGGTACATTGTATTTACATAATCTGACATTGTACATGTAGTGTCATGTACTACAATGTCATGTACAGTCTACGTGTAGACTCTACATGAAGCACAGCATGGCATATGGGTCCATTACCAAAGCAATGATTTTAATATGTCATTGCATTGGTAATGGTATGCTGTGCTTCTTCTACATCGATCCTTACATAATCATAATGATTACTTGAAGTAGTAAAGAAAGTGACCAGCATGCACTCGGCCCTTGAAAAATGAAAATTTTCTGCGTTTAGACCCGCAATGTACGTGGTCGGCCGCAGAGAGCACGGAGGTGGTGGTGCAGTGGAGGCAGGATGACTTCTTTCGGGAGAACAAAACGGCAAAGGAGTAAACCCCTGTTTATTTCAAGGACGATCACTTTAATACTGTAAATTCTGCGTTTAGACCTACGTGGTCGGCCGCGCAACGGAGGTGGGGATGAAGTGGAGGCAGGATGAGTAGTACTGTACGGGCATAGTGTTGCCACTGTTGGCCTGCGGATGCGCTCTCCAGCCTCGAGTCAGCAAATGCCTGTGTAAAACTCTTGCAGTAGACCTACGACTACGAGTGAGCACGTAAATCTGCCTAATCCTTTGCCTCGCGCGGAGTGCTAGTGCACTGCATAGCTGCACTTAGTCCGTGAGCCAAAACTCAAAATCACGAAACAAGCACTACACTACAGTCAGTGCAGTGCCGTTGCACATGCACTCGATCGAGCTCGCGCGGTGACCCGGGCCTGCTCTCTGGTACACGTGGTAGCGTCGATCCGTTCGCCTTGACCCGAGTGTTGTACTTGTAGATCATGAGTATACTGATAGATCACCTACTCTATCCAGACGAGTGGGATAGTCATAGAGTCATACTCATACTCATAGCACAACACATAAAGAGACAGAGTTGGTGAGGTCGCAGATCAGTTCGCCAGTTTCTATCAGTGTGCCCGTTTGGTGCAGCATTTTGTTCCATGAGAATGAACTGACTTACTGCTGAGGCAGCCAGGCTAGCGGCGAATGGGTTTACCAGAGGCGGCAATGGAGGGTAGTTCCCGGTCGCGGGGAGCCAGTACTATTGGCTGTAGACCTAGCCCTCCTGATGATATGGATTTTATAGCTAGCATTAATGCTAAGTTCAAGCGTGATTCCGAGCGTATGCTTTCGCTTCCGCGTTCAGATGGAAAGAGTTTGGCAGCTATCGGCGAGGGCGAACGTGTTCGCCCAGTGTCATCTAGCAGCATTAGCTCCGGTATGTCGTCAGAAGGCACAGGCTTTCTTGATTTGCCGCCATCAGCAGGAGCTGCTGCTGCTTTGCGTCCGGCATCTAGGTCAAGCGCGACCGCCGCCGAGTCACGGGAGCAGAGCAGTGAGCAGTCACCGCGGCCGATGATCTCTCGCATACCAGGCTCACGGAATAGGACTTTCGACAGTTGGCGCTACGAAGGGAGTTTCAACCCGGTCCAAGACGTACTACTAAGTATCATAGCGCCTAACGGTGGATACTGTTGCCTCAACAACTTTCAAGGAGAGCGTTGTTGGTGTGGCGGAGACCTAGCATTGCGTCCCCGACCAGATCGCCCTTCGTTCGTACCAAGTTGGGGCCCAACGTTCTGTGTGTTTTGCAAGAACAATCAGGCTCCAGCACCACTCTACAATGCCCACCGAATAAAGGACTCGAGAGGTTGGGTAACCTGCCCAGTGTTGTCTTCCTACACCTGCCCATTATGTGGAGCGATGGGCCGAAACGGACATACCATCAAGTATTGTTCAAGAAACACTGCACCTGAAGCTTTACAAGCGCAGGCTGCGGCCAATCGCCGAATTTCTCCCCAGAACCGCCAATACCATCGAGGATCATACTTCAATGGCAACGGAACTGTCCGTCAAACCAATGGCGAATGGAGTAGAGAGATAAGTCCACAAATCCCTAACCATCGCCGAGTAGGTCCGGGAAGGAGCTTCCAAGAACAGAATGACGGCGTGAACACTCATGGCCACCCCAGGCACTACACAGGGCCATTTCAGAACGGCGGTCGCCAAAGCCAGCGTCCTCGAGAACGCCAGTACAGCAGTCAATCGTCGTCGACGAACGGCGTCGATCTTCGCTCTCCGTTCGGTCAAGACAGCACCTTCAGGAGCTACCCACAACAACAGCCAAGACGCAGAAATTCATAGCGTGGGAACTGATCGTCGAGCGTAAGTGTACAGCGCTGGTTGCTGCTTTGGCAGCGAGCACATGACACCTCTTTCCTTTCCGTGCTGTCAATGCGCCTCGTTGTTTACACCCTTCTCAATTTACGTAAACCCAGCGACAGCATTATAGTACTAGTGGACCTACTTGTTCCGCAATCAGTAGCAGTCATAATAATAATAATAATGATTGTATTGTTGCTCCTCGAAGCTCCTCTACCAAAATATTGAAAGAAAAAAAGTCGAAAAAAAGAGTTCGGCACGTTTCACTCCATATTGTATACAGGATGGTTTGGCTTGTCTTGTCCGTTTTGCTCCTACGTTTTGGCTTGGCAGCATTCGTGTTCTGTTGTTGCTGTCAGCTCCACTTAGTTACGTAGTCACGTGTCTATGTTGTAACAGAGACTCAGCAGTCCTTACAGAGATGAAAAACGAAAAAAACCCATTGGTGGATATGTGTTCACAATTTGATTTTGTCATAATTATGTAGTTGAAAGATTTGTGTTGTAGCACTGGGCCATGAAGAATGCTGACAACTGTCTTGATTGTCTGAAAGGACGATACCACTGTTACTGTCTGCAATCATTTGCCACTTCTAAGGGTTATTACTATGAGTGTTATTTTCTGTTAACGGGTTGATGGACAATGAACTGCAGTGTGTTTATGTAACTCTTTGCGTAACACCTTCCTCAGATGCACTAAAGGATGATTTTAGCGTGGCTTAGGGACTGCTTTCAAGTCTGGTGTTTTTCTCATTTTGTTTGTTTGTGTGGTGGTGGCAGCTGGAATTTCAGAATTTTTTGCTTAATTATGAATCCCTCCATTCTTTTTATGTTTCCCGATTCAAATCTCATTCTACCATTTCGATTTATTTTGCAGAAAATGCGACCGAGACCATAAGATCCATCTATTCGTTCTACATTTTTCTATCTGTGTAATGCTGTGATTTCCACTTTAAATTAAGTTTTGTTATTCCTGTTTTCTATTTTGTGATGGAGCAGTGTTACATTGTACGTGGACTACCAGTAGGTCATCATTAAGGTTTGTTATATGCTGTTGTTTCGGGTGGAGTAAGTCATCACTTCTTATGCTCTCGTTCGATTGTCGTGTGGTGTGTGTTTGGCCGTGCCGACCAGCCAATACTTAGATGAATGAGACTGGGATCTATATTGGCATACACAGGAGAAGGCTTCTACCTTCACATGATTCCTGGAAGTGGCCAGGTTTGATAGCTTCCACATACATGTACAGTAATTAGTGAGTTATAATCCAGTACTACTAGTACAGTACTGGTATTGCATGTAGATACATACACCTTGTTATAGTTCACACATGTGTTTGGTTTGACAGCATGAAACAAGGTGGAGGACACCGTGTTCGGAAACAACACCCATAATAATTACTAGTATGGGAGCCCCCCCCCCCCCCCCCCCCCCCCCCCGTCCATTGGAACCATCTGAACCATACTAGTAATTATTATGGGTGTTGTTTCCGAACACAGTGTCCTCCAGTGCTCCACCTAAGTCCTTGTTTCATGCTGTCAAACCAACAACATGACATTGTACAGTAATGTACTAGTACTACATGTAGTACCTGAAAGGCTGAAGCATAATACTAGCGAGCAAGACCATAGCCTAGGCTAGGGTCACACACTCGGACTAGTCCCACAATGCAGGTATGTACTGTACAACACTATGTTGCCTAAAATTGAATTCAATTGTACGATGTATTCACTCGTACTGCGACAAATTGTCAACCGTTCTAGCAGCTGCAAACCAAGTCAAGACATGCATGTGCATGTACGACTATTACTAGTACAAGTATTAGCTACAGTAGTTGTCGACGGTCTTCAATCGCAGGCTGTATTGAATAATAGTAATAATACTTATGCAGCTACTGAGTGTTTCTACTTGGAAGTACTTTCTAGTGCTGCGACAGCTTTTGGAGTTTTGTATCGTATTGTTATGACTTGATGGTCCTGCATCTGCACCACCTGTCCCTCTTCAAGCTCTTGGCCTGCACTAAACTAAAGTCAAGACTCAACTGCTCAAGTCAAGAGGGAAGTGTGAAGTACCGTGGCCTGGATCCTGAGTGACACTGCCACTATCCGGTATGCCTGGTATACTGTTGTACTAGCACAATGACCACATACAACAGCTGTAATGTCCGCATTGTATGTATGACTTGTACTACTCAGCCTACTACTACTAGCACTAGTACTAGTAGCGCCATTCATCAGGCCACTTCCTCTCCACCTGATCAAAAGTGGAAATAAAAAAATGCTTCCTTCTTGACTGTGTCACTGACTGTGTGCCTACAGTACACCCGTGCGCAGTCATACTGTTACATGTATGTACATGTACATACACAGGACTGCACACTGCACAGTAGTACAGACAGGACTGTCGGGCGCCGAAGAGCGGAGCACCAAACAATTAAATAATTACATGGTCCAAAGTCAGACAAGTACGGCACAGTACACAGCATGGTACAGGCTAGCCAAGCACAACATACATGATTGTACATGAAGATTGTAAATACAATACAATGTATTAATATTTTAATTGTTATGTCATAACAATACTCAATCTGCGTCATAACAATACATAATAATACATTGTTGTTGGTTTGACTGGAGGACGCGTGTTCGGAAACGGTGACCTTACTACAACCATCCACGGTTGGTAGAGCCCCAGTCCGTTGGGACCATCTGAACCATAATTATGGGTGTTGAACCCGGTTCTGACCCTCCTTAAATAAATACTTATAGGGGAGGTTTTAGACCTTCTCCTAACATCATGACGTCAGTCGTCAGTCGCTCCTGGTGTGATTACGTCACAACAACAACACCAACAACAATAAGTCAGTGGATACAGGATAGTTCTCAGTGGTGCTAGTGCGTAGTGCTAGTGGGGGACAACCAACTAAACGTGTAATACTACTACAGTAGTGTTCCGACGTGGTGAAGGCCTATGCGCCTACCCGGCCATGGCCGCGTCGGGACATCACCAACCTCGTCTACAGAGAGCACCTTCTCACGACAGTGTCATGGTGGTGACAGTAACTGTTGTCAGCTGACGAGCTGAGAGAGGGACGCCATGGGCAGAAGTTGGAAGAAAAAGGAGTTAAAAACAATTCAGATTAATTAGAATAGCTACTTTTATTTATGACTATCAGGACGACATCCAGGAGCGATCAAAGAATACACGACTGACGTTAGGAGAAGTAGTTGGAAGGCTGTTGGAGTGCGCATCCAAGATGTGTTAGAGCTGTTAGCCAGTTTACTGTTAGTTGTAGAATGTCAGTACCATCGGTCAGTGTCGTGCAATGTTATCGCATGAGCTGATTGTTTAGTAACTGGTGGTGTTAGTGGACATTATAGTGCAACTTGTAGTTCCTTGGTCCTTTTTACTTTTTATAAATACAACTACTAATCCTTGGGTCTGCATCCGAGTTCATTCTTGCACACCTGATGAGCCGTCCTTATCTATACGGCGAAACCATCGTCGTGTGAAACTGCTGCTTATTACCCCTGCTTAGTGTCATATTGTCCATCTACAGTGTAATACTAGTCAAAGTGTAGCGGGCCGCAGTCTCTCTCTCTCTCTCTCTCTCTCTCTCTCTCTCTCTCTCTCTCTCTCTCTCTCTCTCTCTCTCTCTTTCTCTCTCTCTCTCTCTCTCTCTCTCTCTCTCTCTCTCTCTCTCTCTCTCTCTCTCTCTCTCTCTCTCTCTCTCTCTCTCTCTCTCTCTCTCTTTCTCTCTCTCTCTCTCTCTCTCTCTCTCTCTCTCTCTCTCTCTCTCTCTCTCTCTCTCTCTCTCTCTCTCTCTCTCTCTCTCTCTCTCTCTCTCTCTCTCTCTCTCTCTCTCTCTCTCTCTCTCTCTCTCTCTCTCTCTCTCTCTCTCTCTCTCTCTCTCTCTCTCTCTCTCTCTCCTCTCTCTCTCTCTCTCTCTCTCTCTCTCTCTCTCTCTCTCTCTCTCTCTCTCTCTTTCTCTCTCTCTCTCTCTCTCTCTCTCTCTCTCTCTCTCTCTCTCTCAAATACACACGGGTCTCAGAAGTACAGTGCTGTTTTACTGAGGCGTTCGGTTTTGCATGATTCTTGTTCGCATAGCTTCCCCTTTTCTTGATCTTTGCATCTTTGGAGCCACGCAAGTTGTGTGGAATGTTGCTTTGCGTTCTTGAATCGTGGTTTGACCGTATTGTCCAATGCCAAATAAAAATAATGGTCTTGCCAGTATCGTCATCGACATGCATGAACATCCGCCAACGTCCTTCACAGCCGAGACTTTCAGCTCGTGCTTATCTTGGTTGCGCTCACCTTCCCCTCCTTATGTTATTTCTATAACTTTAATATATAGAACCTTCCAAGTTGGAAGGCTGTTGGAGTGCGCATCCAAGATGTGCTAGAGCCGTTAGCCAGTTTGGCTACTCATGCTGCCCTCTGTTGCCCCGGCATGCGTTCAACCAGATACAACAGCAACTCGTAACAGTATGAGACCAAGAACTTTCTCCTCTGAGATAAAACTGCAAGAACCAAAACTGTAAACTGCTTCCTACAGTTCAAAACTGACAACTAAAAAACTTCAAAGGCATGGAAGTATACATTCTAGAATGACGAAAGCGAGAGCGCAATCGCAGCCCGCGAGTATCCACAGGACTGTGCACAAATGCAAAGACGAGTGAATATATTACGACTAGATAGCATGGAGACAGCACATGCATCAAACGATACGCTACTTGAATCTCAGACAATGCAAAGGTTGAGACTGGCCTGCGGTCAATACATCAGGCGCCAGCAGCATGCACTAGAATAAAAGAAATGAAACCTGAGTACAATGAAAGGTCATGCAAGATTCACCACAAGCTGGGAATATTCCAGAACATATCCCCCTTCACTCACGAGCACAGGGTCAGCAAACAAACTGTGACGAGTGAGTACTACTACGGTACTGTATGATGAAAGAAAAACTTCATAGGTTGAGAGAGAGAGAGAGAGAGAGAGAGAGAGAGAGAGAGAGAGAGAGAGAGAGAGAGAGAGAGAGAGAGAGAGAGAGAGAGAGAGAGAGAGAGAGAGTACTGTCACAGGGCTGCCTGTAGCACTTCAGATACACAAGGCACAAACTACTCGGTGTCCAGAATAGGTACTAGATGGTGGATAGACCGTCGGTAGATCTTGTCGCCGATCTTAATATCCACTACTCGGACGAGCTTGTCTGCACCAGGATGCACTGCTGTGACTCTACCCATGGGCCATGTTCCACGGGGAGTGTTTGATGTAAGACACAGCATGATGTCACCTACGGCTACATTGCGACCTTGACGTTGCCACTTACGACGGACATTCAACAAGGGAACATACTCATCTCGCCACCTGTTCCACACGTCTGCTACAAGCCGCTGAACATACAACCAACGTTTGCGTGGGTCTCTGCTGGGGTGCTCGTCTGCTTTCACTTCCAGAGCCATTGGTGGGTCGAGTCGTCCGACGAGGAAATGTGCTGGTGTTAGAGGCTGCAAATCAGCTGCATCGGCACTTACGACTGTCAGCGGGCGCGAGTTCATCATGTCCTCAACCTGGCACATGGCAGTCACTAACTCTTCATCTGTGACGTCCGCTTTCCCAAGTACTGCTTTGAGTCCGCGCTTAGCCGTCTTGATGAGGGATTCGAATACGCCGCCGAAATGTGGTGCTCTAGGTGGGTTGAAGCGCCATCGCACGCCATCACTGACCAGTCGCTTCTCGATCTTCTCCTTGTCCATGGCCCGGACGGCCTCACGGAGTTCTTGCTCCGCGGCAGTGAAGTTGGTCCCGTTGTCGCTGACCATTTCAAGCGGGACACCACGGCGCTTTGTGAATCTCTCAAATGCTAACAGGAATGACTCAGTGGAGAGGCCATAGGATACCTCTAGGTGACAGGCACGAGTCTCAAGGCATGTGAACAGGCACAGGTACCGCTTAGCCTGCGTCTTACCTCGGCCCTGCTTGGTCAGGAAGGGACCCGCGTAATCAACTCCTGTACGGCTGAACGGTTTCAACGAGCCTGCAACTCGGAAGTCTGGAATCTGGCCCATCATCTGGGACGCTGGCTC